ATTGCTGTTTTAACGTGTTTTCTGAATGTATTTTCTGTCAAGTGACCTTGGGTGTTCTGAAAGGCACTTTTAAATAAAATGTATTATTATTATTATTATTATTATTATTATTATTATTATTATTATTATTATTATTATAAGAAGAAGATGCTACGTTAAAACCATAAACCACGTAAGCTTTCACTCATCAGCCACAGATCCTCACTCACAGCATGCTGGGCTTCCTACCATGTTGACTCACTCACATGTTCCCTCTCCTACATTAGTTGGTGACGCAGTGAATTAAAACATTAGGAATCCTTTAATTCACCGCTTCACCTGTGTGTTTTTCCTGTTTGTGAGACGAACCCGTCCTCCTTAACCAGGTTACTGGTACGGAAGCCTGGAAAGGCCAAAATTCCTCAAAGGTTTTTTCCCTACTGGCTGATATGAATAAATATAATAGAATAGAGTAAATTTTATTAGTCCCACAGTGAGCACATCCACTCATTACAGCAGCACATCCACTTAGAGACACAGATTACAGTAAAACTGATTCCAGCCATGTTTGCTTTGATAACTTTAATAACTTCATGCTGGAAGGGTTTAATTTACATCTATTTAATGAACCATAAGACATGAGATTTCATAGTAAATATGAAATCAATCTTATAGATCTTTGGGTACTTTTAACCATAAGATTGGAACTTTTTATTGCAGGGATTATGTAACACTTCGTATTAACTGAGAGACAAGAGAAGAGAGAGTCACCTTTAAAACGTTTGAGAAGATTTATTTCTAAACAATTTTAAACAAGACTAACTCTAAGTTCTAAGTGATGAATGGATCTTGGTGTGAATGAGACGTGAGATGAATGGTGTATGAGTGAGTGATGTTGTCATCAGAACTCTCGTATCTGGAGAAGCACGTCTGAGTGATGAAGTGATGTTTTGCTCTTAAGCTATGATCGGAGTTTCATAAACACATTCGACACCATGTTGTCGCTCCACACATACCCTTCAGGATGAGACCTCCGTACAGATTCAGAATGCCAGGTCCTCGAACCCCTCTTTCAGTACCGGAGCCGATGAAACAGCGTCAGCAGTACGACAGACTAGTCTTTGGATTGTCTCCAGGTAAAAAGCGACAGTTGGTTGACAGCGTCAGATGGACCCGGAGGGTCAGTGAGTTCAGCTTTTATTCTGAAAGGAACCGTTGCTTGGTTGGTAAAGTGCAACAGATTTTATCCAGCTTGATGGTTCTTTGCTTAAAAAGGAAGTCCCGGTGGCCGGTCCGATACTTCTCTTAGAATGCGGTGAACTGAACTAAGATGGCGTGGGGACTGGTTTTATTAATCTGGATGTTTTGATTTACGGTCAAATCAAAGTTTGGCAGATTTATAAACACTCAGAGATTATGCCACGCTTCAGAAAGGAAGGTTCTGATTGGATAAGTAAAAGCAATGTGTCATGTGTTTACATTATTGTGTAGTCAGCATGTCTAGTGCACTAGACTAAAGTCATATTACTTATTAAAGCATATTAATCATAACATTGTTATTTCACAGATTGGTAACATTATGTTATTGACTAACACTTTGTTTGATTAGCTTTATTAAAAATAGAAAGAGTTCTTCTTTCTTCTCTTGGGCTGGAAAGGAAAACAGTTTAGAAGCGAATGCATGACCTTGAGCAATATCTCATGCAGATTCGTTCTTGCTGAAGAGAGGGGTAAAATGACTTTTAGGTGGAAAACAGACTAACTAACAAACAAACAAAACTAACTACTAACTAACTAACTAACTAACTAACTAATAATAACATGATGCATCTGGTCAGGATGCCTCCCTGGTGAGGTTTTCCGGCCACGTCCAACTGGGAGGAGGCCTAAAGGAATACCCAGGACATGGTGGAGGGACTATGTCTCTCACCTGGCCAGGGAACACCTTGGGATTCCCCTGGAGGAGCTGGCCCAAGTGGCTGGGGAGAGGGAAGTCTGGGCCTCTCGACTTAGGCTACTGCCCCTGCGACCCGACTCCGGATAAGCAGATGAAAATTGATGGATGGATGGAAATAATAACTGGTAATATTATGAAAGACATGATATTGCCCACCCCAGATGGAATTTGAAAAAATGTACATTAATCATAATTAAAAGTTCCTGTGTGACATTTGTGACATGTAGCTGTAACTCCTTACGGACGGACGGACGGACGGACGGAAGTGGTTTATAGTTACTCTGTACCCAAAAAACATTCAGACCTCATTTAACATTCTAACAAAAATTGTTTACTTTTTTTTTCAACTGTACAGAAAAACTGACATAAAGTAAAACATTCATTTAAAATCTATGCTTTCATACAAAAATCTCTAAATATTCCCAGATTGCCTTTGTGATGTGAGACTTCTACTTATAGTTTTATAAGGATCATACATTTTAAACTTTTCTTACAATAAAATAATATTTGCATCAGTTGCTGTCAATAAAAATAAGTCCTAATATTAAACACAAGAGGGTGTTCAAATCAAGACAGCATTTTATGTGTTTCATAAGCCACCTAAGAGTGAACTCTGTGCCAAAATCTCAAGAAGATTGTCTTAACAGAATTTGTGCTACAACTGCTAGCCTAAAAATGTATTTGCATAAATATAAAGAGCAAACCTCTTCGTGGAGCTGCGATTTACGTAACATGAACAATGTCCATCAAATCTCATGAGACAAACAGGATAACGAACGTAAGAAGATATGTTGTTCTGTTTTGTGTACTCACTAATAGAATTACGATATTTCAAGAACAGTAGTCGAACACAATAACTTTAAAAATTAGACATTTTCCATAAAACTGCTCATTTCCACTTGCTTTATAATATTAGCATTAGCAATTTTGTTATTAAGTAAGGAATGACAAGAAATAAGAATTAACAATTGTTACGTCCCTCAGCTCGCTAGGAGAGATGTGTAAGAGGGAGTAAAAGATGTGTGTGTGTAGATTTAATAATAATAGAGTAAATGTGTCTCCAACAAAGGATTTTATCAAACAAACACAAAGAGCCGCTATGTACAAAAGGGAAAAAGGCTAACAAAAAGCACCAAGCCAAAAGGGCTTGGAGGAGGGAAACTAACCTAAAATACTCTTGTACAAAAAAAAAAAAAACACTAAACTAACGAGAGCCGTCCTGATTTCCCAAAGGAACTCACCCGAGGGATTAATAAAGTTCTATCTTATCTTATCTTATCTGATAAGCAGAGACGCTTGGGGGAAATCCAAAAGTGGAGTCGAAGGCAAGTCCAAAGTTGAAGTTAACCAGAAATCCTAACGAACGAGAGTCAAAACCACCAAAGTACCACTAACCTAACCACATGAGGAGAAGAGAGAAGCCTGAACAACTTCGTGCCCACACTTCCCTGTACCTTCTCCCACCCCCAAATTCCACTACCTCCGCTCCGCTCTGCTCCGACACGAACGCCGGAGCAAAATCGGTCCCGTTGTAGTCAATCAGAGCAATTCCACTACTGCGGCCGTGCTCCGGCGGTGCGGCGCAGTGCGCCGCCCTCTATTCCGGCAAAAATAGAATCGATCCTATTTTTGCCGGACGCCGGAGCACCTCCGCAGTCAATGGACAGAAATCACAACCGTCCAACAGGAAAAGGAGCAAGCACAACTTCCGTTTTTCACAATAAATCGATAAAAAAAAGGCGTTTTTTTGTTTCATATGCACAGGTTTAACAACTTTTAACAACTATCAATGGCGGCTGAACTTTAAATGC